GCGATCGATTTGCAGATGTCACTAGAGGCCTTAAGGTTTCTGACAAACTGTAAACAGTCCATTCACGTCAGTGGAGGAGTGTCAGGGCACTCAAGGGCGTTATGGACGAATTAGTTGCTATCTCTGACCATGGGCTTACTGATCCCCAATTAGTTCAATTGTTCTTTTGTGCCATGCCCGAAAGTTTGCACGGGCACTTCTATGAGAAAAGCAAACAGCCTAACATGACCTATGATACGTTGAGTAGGGATGTGGTGGTTTTTGAAGCTCAGTCCATGCCAGCATCCACTTTCTGGCATAAGGACCAGCAGCCACTTTCTGGCGTAAGGACTTGGACAAAGAACAAAAGTGGAAGGGTTGTACCATCTCAGGTCAAATCAGGGCCAAGGATCACCTGATCCGTACGCTAGATGAAGGTGGTATGGAAGAGGTCCCCTATAGCCAGATCGAGTGGGGCCTCGAACAGGAGGATAGTGGCGTGAGCCAGGGGAGTACTTATGCTGCTGTCGTGGCCGGAGGGAGGTCAAAAGGTAGAAGAAGGGGCTAGGGCCAAAGGGGCCAGGCCTCTAGTGGTTGAGGACAGGGCGGGCAGGGGGTTGGTGGTAGAGGTAACTGCCAAGAGGGAGGAAGGGGTCAACCCCGCAAAACCGTTCTCGTGGCAATCGATCACCTTACAGGAGGGGTGAATGACACCCTAGTCTGCCTCAAGGCAGACCCTGGGAATCGCTGGGCTTAGAACAGACTGTGTGGCAGAGGAGGATAGATGAGGGTCAATGCATTTACTGCGGTGACCCGGGGCATATCATCAAATATTGCCCCAAGTTTAGAGATGCCCGGCGATCTACTGCAGAGGCAGCGAAAGGCAACCGCCGGTAGGGGATGCCTCATCTCTGAGGGCGTGGAAGGTCACGAGGACTTGTTCCTCGGGGATGATATCCTGGAGGTGCTCATAAGAGTTAATGTTCGCCTCCCAGTTATCGAAGTTCTCTCCCTTTTTCCCAGTGTAGGGATCAGGTAATTTCACCTTTACGCGTTCCCTGCGTGGGCGTGCTTCCTCCTCCTTTGGGGCCGCTATCTTGGCGGCTTCTATGGCGCATGCGCACATCTTCCGAGTTCGCTCGAATCGTGCCTGCATCTCTATGCCAACGCGCATCATCATATCGTGTGCAAAATCTTTAAAGCCTAAACGCATGGACTGCAGGTCGATCTCATGGCCCTTCAAATGTTGAATCTGGTCCTGCTGGGTCCTTAGGATAACTTCTATATTTTGGGACAAAACTGCTTGTTGGGTTTTAATATTTGCTTCCTCATCCAGTCGTCCCCTCCTCTCTTGTCCCACCCTCAACTCTTCCATTTCATCTGCCAATTCCATTTGCCTCCTCCTCTCTCTTGTGAGGCGCAACTTCCACTCTAACCTCTTTTCCTCATCCATAGTACAACGACGCAATGGATTCTCCTCCGCCTGTATTTCTCTTATTGTCGCCTCCCTCTCTGCCTGGGGAACAAACAACATGGCTTCCTCTTCTTCCCCTAGCGACAGATTGGCTACCCATTCTGTCAGCATCTTCTCTAGGCTTTTGTCTTCCACTTTCGTGCCACTTGACTCCCCCCTTTCTCCAGTTCTTACATTTCTCTCTAAGGGAGTCTCTTGTTCTTCCTCTTCTTCCTCCTCTTCATCCACTGAGGCTGCAACTTCTTCTTTTTCTTTTTGCAGCCTCTTCAATTCTTCTTCCAATTCTTTCTCCGTTTTGTCCTTCTCCGCCAAGAGTGCCACCTTCTTCGCCTTCTTCTCCAACTCCTGCTCTTTTCTGGCCTTCTCCTCTGCCAGAATCCTTGCGGCCTCCGCTTCCTGCTCCTTTGTATAAGGAGTGGTCCATGTACCACCCCTCATCACGACTCTACACGAAAATGTGTGCCAGAAGCCTAACGGAAATAGGAGACGCCAAAGGGTTCCCCACAGGGAGAAACCCACGAGCAATCCATACATCGGGTAATCGTCCATGGTGAATTGTCCACAATAGGTGACTGTTGTACTCATCACCACTTAGACTTACCCACAGACTGACTGACTGACTGACTCTCTATGGACCACATAATCCTTTTGGGATCTTGTCAACTATGGTCTCTAGCCTAGACCTATTACTAAGGCTGTCACTACAGGACTTCACTGTTGATTAGGAGGCATTTAAGGACATCCCCCGTAACTCCTCAGGAATTCTTTAACGTCGGAGACAGGACGACGTGATCAGCAAAGTCCTCTGAAGACTTAGACAAGTGGTTGTGCAGCCCACAACTCGGATTTTGGGCCAACCATGCCACATTGAGCAGCCCGCCGGTCTGTACCGGTCCTTGGGAGGGTTAGGCCTCCGGGACGTGTCAGTCGTCAGACATGGACAGCAGCCCTACTCAGCCCGTGTGGGTTTGGTCAACGCAGCTCTACGACCTCATACACGGAATTCTATCACCTGGACAGAAGTGACTCAATGCAGAGAGAAGAGATAGACAGACTCAGCAAGTACCATGGGGTGAGTGCACATCCATAGGGCGAGGGGGTAGGTTGAAGGCTTGGCGAGATTATACCAACTCCAGCTTGGTCAAATTCGTGGTCAACAGCTCCGGTCACAACAATCTCTCTCTCTCTCTCTCTCTCTCTCTCTCTCTCGCTCTCTCTCTCTCTCGCTCTCTCTCTCTCTCTCTCCCTC